CTATGATTTGCATTTCGAACAGGGGTTCCATCTTGTCTTGCTTAATGGAAAAGCTTATAAATTGCATTGAATGAGACCTTTATATTGAAATGGGCTAGGTTATGGGAAGATAGAATACTCAACCTATCATTAAGACTAATAGGTGCTGGGAGTGTCTGTCGCATTTAGGGCTTTCTCCCGGAGTGGAGCTCGGGTAAATAGCTCTTTCCTTTATAGTATAGCTCGTCACTCTTTTGTTTATGTTGTTATAGAGAATGGCATAACTAATCTAATGAGTGTCCCCGCGCCTGCAACTTTCGGTCAATCGGCGTTAACCGCTCTTATCCCTTCTTCCTATGGTTCGCTCCGAACCTAATGCCGTTTATGCTTAGTCTTTCTTTGCCAAAGGGCTTTGATCGCGCACATACTGAGAAATCAAATAAGGAATCGATGTTGCCCCCCTACCCCGGTTTTCGATTGAAGGCGCCTCCTTTCCTTTCTTTCTTTATCACCTAGAGTTCCCTTACTTATTTATTTGAGTAGAATACCCTATACGGTCTGTGTCCGGGCTTACCCCTTTCGCTTCTCACCTTTGAAATGGAGTGCCGTCGCCCCGGAAGGACATTTGTTTTCTTATAAGATTCTAAAGAGATAACTCACCATAATTTGATCCCGACTCTTTCATAAATATAGAAGGCCAGTCAGAGTTTTTCTTTCTCTCGCTAATAGCCTATCTTTTCTTCTCGTTTGTTTTGGGCCATTGGCCATGTCAATTCTCTCAGTTTCAGTGAAATTGCGAATTGGTGGAGCTGCTTATCGATCCTGCACCTCGTTGGTCAAGTTCCGTTAGAACTCAATTCTTGTGCTGGTTGGTCTTCAAACGGTCTCTGAGTCACATATTAGACAGCTGCTCTGATTCCGCATTCCCTTCGCCTAAGCTTGTTCCCGCGCATTCGTTTTCTTGGTTGCACAAGCCCTTTTTCCACCCTCTTGAAGACCCTTCTTCTCGCAAGAGACGGTTCGATAGCAGCTTATGGATTCATTCCTATTCCTGCTTGAAGGAAAGTCACAAGTCAAGTGTCATATTCGATTTCCCTCCCTGCTATTGCGTAAGGCGAGAAAGGCTTATTATCTCACTTACCGGTAGAATAAGAATAGACAGATCGGTCGCCTCTTACTCGTCTTTTGAAAGCCAGAACATTCGCATAGAGGAGTATCCGTATCACTACACTAACAAGAGAGGAACTACGAGAATCAATCAGTAGTCACTCTTCGCCTTTTGTATATAAAGAGAGAGATAGCCAGTCTTGAGTATCATTTTGTTTTTTTCCATTTTGATATTTGTTGCGCTCCAGTCGATTACCGGTAAGGCGGTTTAGTCGATACTGCAAAGTCGCTTTATACGGGTTGTGTCGATACGATACAGAGTTTGTTTCTGCTTGGAGGTTAGGCTGCTTTCGATACCACGATACTAGTACCGATACTGGTGTTGCTGCTTTGCCGGTCGTAGCTTCCCTTCGCTTCCCCATGCACCGGTTGTCCCCTGTGTCCCTCAGAAATAGGTGCTTTGTAGCTGCAGCGCATATAGGACGACTGCAGCTTCCCCGGTTGTTCGTTTAGTCTATACAGAGTTGTAGCTAAATTATTCATTGCGAAAAATCTCGTAAGGATAAATCGGATCTAAAAACTTCTTCTTGTAAGAATCAAGGAACTGACAACATAGATGTACCAGCACCTGCAGATGAAGCAGTGGGCAAACCCGATCCATATCATATAAAGGCTATGGCAAGCAAGGCGGACATGAAACTAAAGCGACCACATCGTCAACCGCAATTAGGCTATCCTGCTTCAGGACCTTCAGTGAAGTCTCCGCGAACTCCACTCTCAGAGGAAGACGACTCTCTAAATAGGAACATCCGATACAGAGAGACGCGCACTACCAGACTATCGACTAGACAAAGGCATACTCAGATCAGTCATTCTAAGCGCAAGAAGGCGTATGCCAAGGACAAACTTCCCGACAAAGCAATGAAGGTTTCCATTTTGCATATTGAAAGGAAGCGTAGAGAAGCGTGACCAATGGGCCTTCTACTGCTCTGAAATGAAACTGGTATGATGAAATAGACACCGCTTCGGATCCTGCTCCGGCCTTTTGGTAGTCGATGAAGCTACTGCTAAGGCTATGAATAGGTAAGTCTATCATTCTCTTAGGACATGACTCAGGGACAGAGCAAAGACAACCTATCTTGCTGCTACGAGTGCCTACTCAATAGCCGATTCTTTTCTGGTATTAAATCCTGATATTAAGCCGGGTGAGAGGGGAACTATAGAGTTCCAGGGTAAGGCAAAGGGTCTCATCCGAGGCAGCCACCGGTGCGGAAACCCGTCGACTAAACCCGAAAAACGCAGCCGCCGAAGCGAAAGGCAGTGAACGAGAAAGCAGAGGTGTGGCTAAGGGCGGAAAACCGTCTAACTCGCCTAACCGGAAACTCTGTATCGACTAAACGCTAACCTACAAGCTATATCGGAAAAGGTCGGAGTCGACGAAAACCAACCTGTCTAAAGCGACTTTGCCGTGGGAAATCCTCGTATAGCTACTAAACCAGTATCAACTCAACACCCTAACCGGTCCTACACTTCAATCCCCAATTTGTTGGTGCTTACTAAACCAATCATACTCCCCACGTTCACACCGCACAGCCCAGTGATGAATGAATCGATTCCCCGTTCTCTTCACACTGATTGTTTGATAGAATACACATTGATCGACTCACTGTATTCATGACTGTACACTCATTTATAGATTGACTATATACATTGTTTGACTGTATACACTAATTGGGATATTCACAAAGACCGTTTCATCGATTC